TTAATCATCCAAACTAAACAATCATACATCTCAATTTTTAATTCCAGTTAGACAGACTCTAGTATCTAGAACTCAGAATCTAGATTTCTATTGCAATTACTACGGAGTATTATATCCAAACATGGGACGAGTAGACCTTACTGTTAGCTTTATGTATAACGTCTAAAGAAGTTCAAAAATTTTAGATGAAAAAATGAAATGGACTCAGGGGTATTCATGTCTTAATCTTAATTGAATCTGTGGCTCATAACTGGAACATGGAATTTGGATTGAAGTAGAGGAAAGGCATGCTTATTCCCACTTCACTTTAATGTCTGTAAACCCAAAGCTCAGTACTAATTTGTGTTCAAAGTTCCATACTTTCCGTTGGATCCGAAGTTATTCCTCCCGCCACTTTTCCAAGCCCATCCCTTATTCGTCTCCCCAAATATACGCCTGCAATGTCAAGATCGCCCAGTTATCCCGCTCCGGGAAGATCAGCTCTGCCCGGAAGGTGTTCGATGAAATGCTCCACAGAGATGCCGTGTCCTGGAACTCCATGATCACGGCGTACTGGCAACACGGGCTTCTAGAGGAATCCAAGAAACTCTTCGTATCGATGCCAAACAAGAATGTGGTGTCCTGGAACTCAATGATCGCTGGCTGTGTAGAAAATGATTGCATAGATGACGCTCGCCTCTACTTCAGCACCATGCCGGAGAAGAACCTTTCGTCGTGGAATGCGATGATTTCTGGTCTCATCAAGTTTGGAATGGTGGATGAAGCTGGGAGGTTGTTTGAGGAGATGCCGAGGAGGAACGTGATCACCTATACTGCTATGATAGATGGGTTCATGCAGAAAGGGGAAGTGGAGAAGGCTAGGGCCTTGTTTGACTTTATGCCTATGAAAAATGAAGTTTCTTGGACTGTGATGGTAAGTGGGTATGTGGGAAATGGCTGTCTTGATCAAGCCAGGGATTTGTTTGAGCACATGCCTTATAAGAATGTTGTTGCTCAAACTGCTATGGTATTTGGGCTCTGCAAGGATGCTCGGCTTACAGAAGCGAGAATACTATTCGACAAGATTCGTTCTAAAGATACCGTCTCTTATAATGCTATGATTTCAGGTACCAAAGAAAAAAAACAAAATTGGACACAATGTGGGAGTTTTGCACCCTCAATATTTATATGTCCCCTCTGTCCGGATATAGCTGTCCACTTATCCCAACCCCTCAAATTTAAGGAACCATGTGAATTGACAAAATTATCCCTTTCTACGTGTCTACTTCATCTCAAAGATGTATTTGGCAATTCCTCCAAATTTTAGTACTAAATGATGCTTGTTATTGTCCAGGTTATGTGCAAAATGGTGTCAGTGAGGAGGCGTTAAGTCTACTAATACAAATGATGAGGATGTGTCTACAACCAGACCTTTCAACTTCTGTTTCTGTTCTAAACGCGTGCTCAAATCTCATGTCCCTCACATTAGGAAAACAAATACACACTCTGATTCTCAAAAACGGGTTGGACTCAAACTTCCCACCAATGCATGCTTTGATCACCATGTATGGTAAATGTGGCAGCATTGTTGATTCGGAATCTGCTTTTGAACTTATCGGCAAACCAGACCTGCTTTCATGGAATGCCATCATAGCCGCATTTGCACAACATGGACTGTATGAGAAAGTTGTCAAACTGTTTGAGCAGATGGCATCCGATGGACAAGAACCAGATGGGATAACATTTCTAAGCTTATTATCTGCTTGTGCTCACACAGGAATGGTTAAAGAAGGCATATTTTGGTTCGACTTGATGATCAAAGATTACAGAGTTAGTCCTCAGCCTGAGCACTATGCGTGTTTGGTTAGTATTTTGGGCCGAGCCGGGCAGCTGGAGAAAGCCTTTCGGATCATCAAAGAGATGCCCTTTGAAGCTGATTCTGCAGCTTGGGGTGCTCTTCTTGCAAGCAGCTGTGCTTACTCAGATTTGGAGCTGGGAAAGATCGCCGGAGAGAGAATTCTGGAATTGGGCATTCGAAATTCAGCATCATATGTCACATTGTCTAACATATATGCTGGTGCTGGGATGTGGGGCCAGATCTCGAGAATGAGAAGCATGATGAAAGAGCATGGAATTAAAAAGCAACCTGCTTGCAGTTGGACCGAGATAGAGAGTGAAGTCCATTGCTTTTGGGCAGGTGATTCTTCTCATCCAAACATGCTTCAGATTCATTCAGCAATCAAGAATATGAATTTGCAGATGAAATCCCAAGTTGACTTCTTTAAAGACGACGATTTCCGGGACATTTTCCTTGCCTGAAATGATATTGCAAGTAGCTAATGTCTGAAAAGTGATTTGTATATGGTGCATTCCAAGATTACATGGATTCCCTCTTCTTGGCACGCAAAAAAAGACATCTTGGTTGGATATTGCTCGTAGAGTGTCGTTCTCCACAACAAAGATTGCAGTAACACAGATCAACATGTTTCTTCTACAATGTTGACAATGATTTCTGAAGTCCGAGGTCTGGTTGGTGAGGTGAGATCTGAATAATGCTTAATGCCCTTCCCCATATCTGTCAAAAATTACAATTTTCTTGGTAATGTACTTCTGTCCATTGCCAATGGAGCTAAAAGAGTCATTATTGACAATGTTTTAGTTTCGGGCACATGATAGATTAAATCAATATGGAATACCAAACCTTGTTTCTTACTTTCTGTGAAGTTTTGGGCAGTAAGTGAGTGCAGCAATGCAGCTAGGATCTAACGGTAACAACCTCTCTGTTTTTATAGGAGTAAGACTGCGCGTACATTTTGAGTATCTCTTTGTGTCTTCATGTATAATTAAGTGCTGTTATGTTGCAGTCATAATGCAGTTAAATGCTATGCACCAGCTAAACTAATGTTCCAATATTAGAATTGTGTGGTCATACTTAATTTTCTAAAGTAACCTTTAGGTACCTAAAACAACTTTTTCCTATGCATATTTTTTTAAAAAAAAAACAAAACAACCTTTTTCATAGACATTGTACTATGCACCTTCTTTCATTATAAATACTTTTGAGTTAGGCTAAAACGTCCCATTTGTGACAGAGAACTAAAAAATGGGCTCATGAATTTTTTTTCCTAAAAATTCATTTTTCATTGTTAATAATTGAAAAAGATGTTTTGAGAGAATTCTATAATATGTTAACAACGTGGGGGTGAGCGGCGTAATGTGTCTGGGGACAGTGGTAGTGCAATTGTGGGTTGGGGTGCTAAGGTGGGGGCCGAGTGGCGGGTGGGCAAATGGGGGAGGCATAGGGGAGAGGCGTTAGGGACAAGGGCGGGTGGTGAGTGGGAAAATAGTTTTTCTCCAACTGATCAAAATCAATTTAAAGAAGATTTTGGAACACGAGTATGAGTTAGGTCAAACATTTTGTGATATTTTGACACTATAGTGTTGTAGATATATACACGGACAAGAATTATTTGTGTGTGACTATGTTGACAAATGCTATTCAAAGATGAAAAATGCTAGGGTGTCCCCAAATGGAGGGAGTATATGTTTATGAAAATCATGATGTCAAAATGATGGGCTCTCCTAACTTTTTTTCTTTTGTGAAATTCAACGTTAGTTTTGTTTATTCCGTATAATTCTACTCTATTTGTCCCAATTTAAACTATTCATTTATTATTCAAAGGGTCAATATCAAATATGTTTTGTAAAACCTTTGATATAGTTTTTAAATAAATAATACGGAGTATATTTTTTAATCTCATCAAATTGAAAATAATTTTAAACAAATCTCGTACTCCCTCTGTCCCAGAAAGAATGACACGTTTACTATCCTGGCCTCTCGATAACTTTTGTTTGTTTACTCGTTTTGGTTGACCATTTGATAAAATAAAATATTCTTGTCGCATCTTGTTTTGTAGAGCTTTTCATATACTTTTGAATGGTGTAATTTTTACTTTTTATTACTCTACCAATTTGAAATTAAAATAATTTTAAAAGAGATGATATTTTGCACGTCGTTCGAAGTGTTGCAAATAAATTGGGACGGAGGGAGTATATAATAAGAGACAATTTAAATGAGGAAGAAAGCCAGAACGGAGTATTCTATTTCGCACTTAACTCACACTGACACTGACACACGCCCATTTAATTGTAATTGGGTATTGGGATCCTCGCAACACAACCTTTCATGCACATTGATGACATTAAGGCCATATGTGGTCGTTTTAGGCGGTCGTATGCAACCTAAAGATCATGTGTTGCCTGTGCTCTCTTTGTGCTATGTCTTTATAGAAAATTATTGCCAGTAAGGGTAAACTGATCTAAAGAGTAAAGGGCGAATGTCAAGCTCATTTGGTTTTAAAGTCAAATCTTGGTAGATAGTGTATTTTTTATAATAGTTTTTTGTGCATACTAGACACTTGAAAACCTTTCTAAGAACCAAATTAAGATTATATCATGATTTACTTTCCTCATTAGCTTGTCGGACCCAAGTCTGGAAGCGTCCGGAGAAGGCGTTCCACCTTTTTAAAAGAAGAGAAATTTACCTAAATAGGACTAAAACATAATGACTTTTTCAATATAGGACCATATGTTTTTATTTCCCAATGTAGGACCTTTGGTCATTATCACGAAGTCATTATTCAACTAAATGTGCATCATTGCTGGACATTATTCCTTCCACTAGGTCATTATTAAGTCCTATTTATGGAATAAAAAAGTTTAAGTCCTACATGAGGAAAGTCATTATGTTTTAGTCTTATTTAATGCAAATTTCACTTAAAAGAAAGATTAATCATATTTTGAGGAGCTCTTAATTAGATCGATCCGCCAAACAACTCTTCTCTATTTCAGTACGTGAAAAACCAAAATGATTAGTATCCTCAAAAATCACTCCTATAATTGATCAGGAAATTGAGATAATCCGCATTTGGAAGCTAATTAATTACAACGCTCTCGTAAACGAGTAATAAAAAGTAAAACATTTATAAATGAATATTTATATAGTAACACATTATGGTACTGCCAAGTTTAAATGCCATGTCGGCCCCACTCCAAAACCCAAAAAAAGTTGACTCCAAACAATTCTCATCACAAATTGCATTTTCTTGGCGTTACAATATGATATGCCTTAGCTTGGTGGTGAATGAGCGGAGAAGATTAGAATAACCCCCTCCCAAATTTAACCAGAAAATAAAAAAAAATTATTCCGTTTTTTTTTTTTGTTTTTTTGTTTTTCCGAGGAAGAACAATAACCTTATATTAAATCATGTTTCTTTCCAAATCAAGGTACACTAAATCTTTGGCACTGTTAGTGGAGTGTTTTTAATCTGCATGTTAGAAATTTTCGGTAAAATTTATTTATATACTTTTTATCAGTTTTTTAAAATTATTATCATGTATAGATCTGGGAAGAAATGTCATCCGTCGATTCTGTCGAGGACAAAGATGTGCAGGGGGGATTCTGCCACGTCGCAGGTTGATTCGAAGGCTGTGGTTTCGCTCGAAAGAAAGCCTTCCAAGTCCGACGAACAGGTTACTTACATTATTTCTTGTTTTTATTTTTTTGTTACACTTTGATTGCCTTTGAGTTATATATGAGTAGTAGTGAAGTTACGATCGAGCCAATATATAATGTATATATATGTATATATAAATTGCGGAGGAGTAGTTTTTTTTTTCTAACGGCGGCGGAGCGCGGCGGTGTGTGGTGGCAGAGGGGAGTTGAGTGCGGTGGCGGATAGGTGGAGAGGGTTGGTTGTTAATGTGAATATACGAGAGAAACAATATTTTATTCATTTATTTCATACGTAGTACTTCTATAACTTTTTTTCGGGTGGTCATCATCATAGGATCATACATCATCCGAACTCTTCCGGTGTTTCATTCAAAAAATTGATGGTTCTTACTCTATGTCATTTTCCTGTACCCTGTAGTCTCGGGCCCCAACACCCCCCTTCCTTTGCCGATACGCAAAGCGGGTTGGGGGTGGAGAATAAGAACAATTACTTTTTTAAACGGAGCATTGGAGAAATTCTGAGTTATCCTATTACATTCATGACCAACGATCACATATATCAAGGCACTTTTTTTAAGTTCTGAAAAACTCGTATCTCTATATAACGCAGTATATACTACGGAATAATTTATATTCATACATAAGCGCAGCCATAGCGGATAGACATTGATAGACTAAAACTAAACGTTGTCATTAGATATTTTTCCCCTACTAAAAGTTATTTCTAGGTTTGCTTATTTCTAGCATAAAGATGAGGATAAAGATTAGTGAGAAACATTTAACCACATAATGTGAATCAATTACGAAAAGTATGATTGAAACTATCCCTTTAATTATATTCAAGTGCCATTTGAACCCTTTGACAATCCATTTCTGTGGATTAGAGTTCATAGTTTTCTTCTAGCTATAGCCTCATCCATTTCTAGACAAAAATTCATAACCTTTGGCCCCAGTTTCAGGGACCATAGGCCATACCAAGGATGAAGTTCCTATTTTATGTTTGTCTTAGATTAAAAATATTTCCTAAAATAAAATTTACAAATTTGAACTTTTGTTTGAGTTGGTTCTTTATTTGAAATGATAGCAAAGTCTTGTTGACAAAGAGGTCACGAGTTTGAAACTTACTTTCAAAAAAAATTTAGAAAAATTAAGGTTTTACGTGTAAGGCTCGAAGCGGCCACGCCTGTATTACTCTATATGAGGTGGCGTGTTAGATTATACTCCGGTATAAATCTTTTTTGGGCCAAAATTACAAACTTGAACTTTTAGTTGAGCTGACTTTTTAAAATTGTATCAAACCTTTGTTGATCCAGATGTCACGAGTTCGAATTTCACTGACACTCTGCTTTTAAAAATTAGAACAAACTTTCACGAGCGAAACTCGAAGCGGCCACACCTGCAATATATATCATTTTACAGGAAAGATGACATAATTATACTTCCCCGTGTCTCATTGTTTTTGTCTCATTTCATATTTAGTCATATTTGTGTGATTCACTATCATTCTTACTTTATCTCATTTTTTAACATCAACATCGGCCACACAAATTTATTTTTCTTAATTATTAGGGTTGTAAATGGAAAACCAAATATGTATAAAATTAAAAAAAATGTATTTGTGCTACCAATTTCTTCTTTCATCAGAATTTTATGCCTCAAACCTAACACTTCCATATGTATTTTTTGAAATATTTGCACTAAATAACACTAAAACTCAAGTCATTTCTCTAAATAGCATTTAAATTGTTTTATTCCCTAAATAGCACTTAATAATGTCCATAATGTCTTGTGATGACGAATATTTATTTGAATAATGACTAATGCATAATGACTAAAAGTGCTACATAGGCAAGAAAAACACATGTGGTGCTATTTAGAAAAAGTCATTATGTTTTAGTGGTATTTAAGTAAATTCCTCTTATTTTTTCGAACATTGTATCATTTGATTGAACACAGAACCGGAGCAGTAGAGCCCTGCAAGTCCAAGAAACCTCAGTGTGGGAACTAGAAGAGGAAATCAATATGTTAAGAGAGCAATTGGGATGTGCAGAAGCAGATAGAGACAAAGCTCTTGCTGATCTTGTGGAGATTAGACAATTAATCAATGAATACAATTACTTGAAAGATGTTTTGTACAACACACAGAAAGAGCTGAATGACAAAGACAGAGCTATGGAGCTGCTGAGATCGAAACTCGACGAGGCCGAGGCCGAAAGAGAAGATTCAAAAGAGAGGTTGAGAGAGGCAATTGCCAATGCAGAAGCCTCCGAGGCGCGGTCCCGCCAAGCAGTCTCTGATCTTCGGATCCGGATCAAGGAGCTCGAGGAGCAGGCAGAAAACAAAAAAGACCGTGACCCGAAGATCGAGAGCCTGAGCGAAGAGATATCTTCGCTCAGAAAGGAGTTGAAAAGGGCAAAGGAGGAAGAGGAGAAGAGCAGAAAGGCGATGGATGGGCTCGCGTCGGCTCTGAAAGAAGTCGCGGGAGAAGCGATCGAGGCCAAGGAAGACGTGAAGCTGAAACTCGCCGCGACTCAGTCCGAGCTGGACCAAGTGAAGCGGGAGAACGCGAAGTTGAAAGAGAGAACAAAGAGAGGAGAGGAGAAGTGTCTGAAAGAACTAGAAGAGACTAAAAAGGAAATAGAGGTAATGATAAAATTTATCATGGGTAGAGATCACTGGACTGGGCCGCAAGACACTCGTGCTGAATTACATTAAAAGATTGAATCGATTAGTACTTCAAATCAAGATCTTATGAACTCAATATTGGGAGAAAGACTAAAATAGGACTAAAATATTGAAAATATACCAAAATAGGACTTCCATGTTTTTATTCTCAAAATAAGACTTACATTACCAAACATGGTCATGTACATTACCAAAAAAGTATAGTAATGTGCACATGTACAATGTCACATTACCACAGTGCAGAGTCCTATTTCGGAAAAAAACATGAAAGTCATTTTGATACTTTCATCTATATTTTAGTTCTATTTAGGATGATTTCTACTCATTATTTTCTTCTGCATTTTTCGATGTGGGGTACTCTAACAGGTATACAAAAACACGGTGGAGAGGTTGAGATTGGAGGCGGAGGAGGGGCTTTTGGCGTGGAATGGGAAGGAAATGGGGTTCGTGAGCTGCATAAAGAGGGCGGAGGAGGAACGGGACAATGCGAGTAGGGAAATCCTTAGGCTGAGAGACCTGTTGAAGCAGGCAATAAGTGAAGCCAATGCTGCTAAGGCTGCTGCTAACATTGCCATTGATGAAAACTCGAAGCTCAAAGATTGCTTGGCTGCTGCTGGGAAAGGTGGCTTAAGAACATGAAGATTGGAAGAGTAAGATGATGATGATGATGATGATCATAGCTTTTGTATTCATCATTGTTGGATTATACAAATCGCAATATAATTCACAATGAATGTTCTTTCTTTTTTGTTTTGTTTTGTAGCTTATGGTTGTGATTATGTATGAAAAATAAGACTTCTACTTCCTTGAAAATGGAAAATGTGAAGAAAGAAATGTTGACAAAAAAATGAATTAAAACCGCGAGGACCCCATCAGACCCGGCCGGGTGATTATTGAGAGAAGGTAAATTAGACATTGATCTCAAATTGGTGGCAAAGAGTGGAGTCTGCACTTGATACTTGCAGAGACTCTATGCTTAGTATAGTTGCCTCCCAGTGCAGTTGCCAGGAATCGAACTCGGGTCTTACCCCCTTTACACTCTTTGCCTTCCCAACTGCGCAACGCCCACCAGCAAAAAGAAAAAGAATGTAAATTTCAATAAAAAAAGAATTTAAAAATAAATTACAATGAAAGTTGATGAAATAGGAAAAGTTGATGTGATACCGAGTTGGAAGTGAATTTAAATCAAATAAAAAAAATAATTTTAATCAATTTTTGTTATCCATAAGGAGACAACTTTGTGTATATAAGCACCTTAATTATGTTCCATATGTTTGTTTTGTGTATATAAGCATTTCTTTGAAAAAACTCTTAAAATTTAATTAGGCTCGACAAAATTGCATTTAAAAAATCTCAATTTTGGCCGGTCTAGGCAAATTAAACTCACCTTTTAATATGGTGCAAATTAAAGGGAAAAGACTAAACTCACCTTATTTAGGATCATTTCTACAAATTAAAGTTTCACTATTGTACATAATAACCTCACCTTTTAAATTACTTCGTTGTTGTATAGAAAGGATGACATTAAAATCTAATAACAGAAAAACTAAAGAATGTTGAACTACCAATATCTATTTTGTATAAAATAATCTTACTGGTTACATACAATAGATATCAATCCATATACTAAAAGCTCCATATAACAGGCTGATATTAGTATATACACCGTATTAAAAATTGCATTACACTTAGGAGCATATTCTTTTCAATTTTGGTTTTGTTAGAGTACAGTTCAACTTCAGTTAATTTATATAAGTACCGTTACATTTTGGTGAGTAAAATTTGCACTAAATAATATTAAAACACATGTCTTTTTCTAATGTAGTACTTAAAACTTTTTATTTTCTAAGAAATCAAAACATATGATACTATATTAGAAAACTCACTATATTTTACTTGGGGTAGTATTTATAAGTGAATTTTCTCTTACGGTGAAAACATGATTTTGCATTTTTTAAATTTTTTTAAAGGGGCCGCGCGAACGCAAGCCCCCACTGCCACAAATAATGACGTAGGTTCCACCACTTGGGTAAAACTTAGGCGGACACCCTTCCAACGTGCAATGGAAGTCATCAGCCTAGGCCATGGGCCTTCTTGATCGCCCATTGACCCCTGTAAGTGCATTTTTTTAATTGCACCTAATAGTTACTCTGTAGTTAATTATACTAAAAAAGAACAACCCATTTTGGCTAAGAAATGCATATTAATGGGTTGGTGGCTGGTTACAGCCCAACTCAGCCCAAAAGATCGCGTGACTAAGAAATTAGACACTTAGGGACTGTTTGTTTCAGCCTCTTAATGGTTCAGATGTCTGAATGGTTCAGCACTTAATGGTTCAGACTGTTTGTTTCAGCTTCTTAATGGTTCAGATGTCTGAATGGCTCAGACATTTGCCTCTGAATGGTTAAGTATTATACAGATTCTGAATGGTTAAGATCTCTTATCTGAATTGATCAGACATTTGCCTCTGAATAGTTAAGCAACATACTAGCTCTTAATGGTTCAGACCTCTTACTGGTTCAACACTTAATAGTTCAGACCTCTTACTGTTTCAGCATTTACCTATTCAGAAGTTGCCAAACAGCCCCTTAAACTAATTAGATTTCCTAAGTTAGGAGTGGGGCAATTTGCATGAAAGTAAATTTTCATAAGGATGAATTGATTAAAAAAATATTTTTAAGGGGTGAAGAACAAAATTCGATTATTTTAAAGGAACTAAAAACATATTTTATCCATTTCAAAAGGTAGAATTGCACTCTAAAAATTGAAAATTTGTATTATTGAAAATTATTGGATTTTAAATTGTTTGCAAACACCATGAGAAATTGAGAATGTGTATTACATCTGCCTGAATATGTGTCCACTTTGCTGCAGTGGGTAATTGTTTTTTTTACTAGCTTTCACTTTTATCTTTTACTCCTATTAATTTTAAAATTTCAAAAAACCAAATCTAAATTATTTGATAAGTTAATTGATGTTGTTATTCCATTATTTCTTGCAAAAACTAAGCAAATAATTACTCCCATCTCTTAAGTATTACAAATCTGTCCATAAATACTTTTCCTTAAGAAAAACGTACATTGCTATGCCAAATATTTTACTATTTGCAGGAAACAAATACTCCGTATACAACTATACAAGCATTTAATTGCACACTTAAAAATAGTCAAATTGGCTGGTCAATCGCAACAAAGGAAACTCACGAGTGTAGACTATTTTTAAGAATTCGAACTTCTTTAGCTTGAGTGTAAAAAAAACAGTACCCAAAATTCGTTGGAAAGTTCACCCAAATACTTTTTTACAGGGCGAAAGCACAGGCATGGATTTTTGTGCATCATTACATTGAGAAAATATAAACAAATAGTCCTATATTGTAATGAAATCAATAGCGTTGAAAAAAATTAAGAAGTTAAGGTGAAAGTAATGCATAGGAGACTAAGGGGCTGTTTGGCAACTTCTGAATACGTAAGTGTTGAACCAGTAAGAGGTCTGAACCATTAAGTGCTGAACCAGTAAGAAGTCTGAACCATTAAGAGCTAGTATATTGCTTAACTATTCAGAGGCAAATGTCTGATCAATTCAGATAAGAGATCTTAACCATTCAGACTCTGTATAATACTTAACCATTCAGAGGCAAATGTCTGAACCATTCAGACATCTGAACCATTAAGAGGCTAAAACAAACAGTCTGAGCCATTAAGTGCTGAACCATTCAGACATCTGAACCATTAAGAGGCTGAAACAAACAGCCCCTAAAATAACATGAACTATAAATTTATTCAACCTTATTTTGAAACTCTCCAAGAAAAAGAAAATCAGTACCTAATTCTGAAAAGGAACGAGTATTTATTAGGAAAAAGAGTGATTGTGTATGCTGTACATGGTAAAAAAATTGATTAAAAAAAATTAAAGGGGGAATTTGGAAGTTGGATAGAGTGGGGAGTGCCCTAGTAATGGGTGGCAAATGGCCATAACACTCTCCCATTGTCCATTGAAAATATGCACCTCGACGCGGCCATTCAATGTTTTAGAGTATATCTTTATCAATCCAACTGTAAAGTGTAAAGTTGAAAAGGATGAGAAAAATAGTGCAACTTGCCAATTCAGTCAAAAAAGAAGTAACTTTTATTAAAGTTGGTAAAAATACCAAGTTACCGAAATTTTTGGAATACCAAAGATTTTTTGTATAATTTGATACATTATGGTATCATACCGAAAGATTTCAATATGATATCGGAATCAGAATGCAGTTTAAAATTTTGGGTATTTCAGTATATACCAAACGAATGATATATTGTATAAATTTCAGTACACCGAATTTGGTATAGGCAATTTCGTTCTGGATTCCGGATTCTTTTCTGGTATACTGAAATTCGGTATTTTGTTATACCGAAATTTCAGTAAGTACCGTTTGGGTTTTTTACATACCCAAATTCAATAGGGACCATAAAGTAATAATGAGCAAGTAGTGATGTGGGAAGATAAAATATATGCTTAAGGGGGGGGAGTTTCCTACTTGATGAGAAAGGGTATAGGAAGTCAATACCTACCAAATAAGCTGTGATGTGGACTTAGTCTCAATCCCAAGATTGATAAACCACAATGTGACCCAATTAATTCAAGAGGCAATTTCCAAACTAAAACAAGATACTGAGCAAGAGATATGGTAATGATATCTTAATGCATCATTCCTTTGAGGAGAAGGAAAACATCCCTTGGGCAAATTCAAGTTGGGAGAAGAAAATAAACTAGGAATCAAAGTTCAGAAACACCATTAAAAATAAAGTAGTAGTTCATTCAAATGTTGCAAACCATGGAAATGAAAAACTAGCACTAGAAAGCAGGATTCAACCTGATAGCAAGCCATAACAAGGAATACTTCAAAGTTAAGCACCTCATCAAGAAAGTTATTGCTCATTGTCTGGTTTGGATGCTTCTTTGATCTCATCTCCTCCATCATCCTAAATAAGAAAAATCAACATTTGTGATTTAGCAACAGAAGTAATCTGGACAAAGCTTAATTTCTCGTGTTGGAAGAAATGGATGAATTACCTGCATGTCTGATGTCCAGAGAGTGAGATTATCCCGAAGAAGCTGCATGATGAGAGTGCTATCCTTATAGGACTCCTCTCCCAAAGTGTCCAGCTCTGCAATCGCCTCATCGAAGGCCTACGAATGATAAGAGCAAGAAATAAAAGAGAGTTGTAATAAGTGCGGCGATTGATGAAAAGAAATCAATAGATTCCAATACATAATTGTTTCTAAATATTGAATGCAAGGAAAAAGGAATGGATAATTAATGTTTACCTGTTTGGCAAGACTACAAGCACGATCTGGAGAGTTCAAGATCTCATAGTAAAATACCGAGAAGTTCAGAGCCAGGCCTAGACGAATAGGATGCGTAGGAGCTAGTTCTGCATTGGCAATTTCCTGCAGAAATTTCATGTTAATTTCGAGATCAGATTCTAAATCGAGATTAAAAAAGCATCTTTTGCATAAATCTCGACAAGACATTTTCAATCTGCATTTTCATGGCGAGATTTAGAAGAAATTTGCAAATACTTGCAGTAGGAGAAACAAACCTGAGCAGATTTGTAAGCGGAGAGAGTGTTCTCGGCGGCCTCCTTTCTCTCGGATCCGGTTTTGAACTCAGCCAGGTAGCGGTGATAGTCGCCCTTCATCTTCAAATAGAAGACCTTTGAATCGCCGGAAGAAGCGGCGCCGATGAGCTTGGAATCGAGGAGCTTGAGGATGCCGTTGCAGATCGAGGTAAGCTCCGACTCTATCTTAGATCTGTAGTCCTTGATCGACGCCACGTGGTCCTCGTTTCCGCGGCTCTCCTCCTTCTGCTCGATTGAGGAGATGATCCTCCACGACGCACGGCGAGCGCCGATCACATTCTTGTAGGCGACGGACAGAAGGTTGCGCTCCTCGACGGTCAATTCCTCGGCGCCGTCGGCGGCGGCCACCACCTTCTCCATGAACTCCACCATCTCCTCGTACCGCTCAGCCTGCTCCGCAAGCTTTGCCATGTACACGTTCTCCTCACGTGCCGACGCCATTGATGCCCTGTCCTTGTCTGTGAGAGAGAGAGAGCTTTTTGAGAGAGAAAGAGAGAGATTTGAGAGAAGGCTTTGATGATTTGCCCCCCTTTGATTACTCCATTCCCATTTTAGAGAGAGGTTCAAGCGAAGTGGAATATTGGGCTGTTAAGGGCCCATCAAAGAGGTCAGGATCTCAGCCCAAGAATCATGACAAAGGCTAGACGTATATGTGACGCGGATACAGTTAAGAATGACTACTTTATTATTGGGTATTTATTAAGAGTGATGCTAGGGGTACACCAAAAGGTGTACTCCAAATATATACCACCCCCTTCTCCACCATATATTTTTATTTGATTTTTATTTACTTATTTTTTTAAAATTCTTTTATCTTTTTTAGTGGATAAGGAGGGGATGGGGGACATATGGGGTACACCTTTGGTATACCCTTAGCATTTTTCATTTATTAATGTGCTTGTGCCAAGAGGTATAAAACAATGTGATTATATTGGATTAGAGTCAACAAAAAAATAAATTTGATTTTTATGCTTTTGTACATTTGACAAACATTCTTATTTTTAAAAAATCATCCTAAATAGTAATAAAATTTAGTATTTATTTTTAAAATATGAATTTTTTATTTATCTCTAAAATAAGAATTTACACTGTGACATTTTACTATTTTTTGGAGTTATATATTGATATAATGAAATTGTTGGTATTGTAACTCTTATTTTTAGAGTTAAAAATTATGAATTTTCTATTTTAATACTTGTACTTTCTTCATAATTTACTCCTAGTTTAGTTCTTTTCTTTACTTTTTTTTTATTTTTTAGTCATTTTTATAGATTTTCTCTTAGTTTTTTTAACACATTACTCTCTTAAACTTTTTCAATCACTTCTAATATTTTTTCTTAATCTCCAAAAAAATCTCATTTGACTTTTGGCATAAGACGGAGGGAATAATACGGAGTAGTAGTTTGTTCTTTTCAATTTATTTTTATTACTTATTCAATTAAATCAGATTTAATCAGGTTAGATCAGAAAAAATTTCAAATATAAAAGATATTATATCAGACCATACCGAACCTTGTCAATTGTCATATCAAATTACTCATATCATTTAAAACAAATCAGATCATATTTATTGAAATGAGACAAATCAAAAATCCTCTAAATGAGAATGATGCATTTTTTTAATTGCGGCAGGGGTGGGCAAAAATATCAGTCCGACATTGTTCTGAACCGGACCGACATTGTACCAAACTAAAAAGCGTGTTTTCAAACTGTTCTAGTAAATTATATCCCAATCGAATTGTTTTCAAAATGGTACCGGACGGGTTTCCAATAAATAAATACAGAAAATACCGAACCAAACTGTGATGGGGAAGAACCCCACGTCAACCTAGGGCTGACATCATCAAATAATTCCCTAAGTATCGGGCTTGGGCGTCTCCGCTCGTCCTTCCTACCCGGCCCTGAGCTCCGCTCGTCCTTCATGCCCGGCCCTGAGCTCCGCTCGTCCTTCCTGCCCGGCCCTGACTGCTCGTCCCTCCTGCTCGGCTCGGCCAACCAAGCCGAGCCCGAACCCCGCGACAACGACATGGGGAAAGTGACGTTCAACAAAGACTTGCTGAAAGCGATAGGATGAAAGGGACAAGACCAAGGGACATGTGAACAGTTGGAATCTGTGTATTGTATACTATCGTTTACACAAGCGGCAGTACAGTTCAAAGACATCGCGTTCTACTGAACAGTTAGTAAAGAAGGTATACTTTACAAGGGACATGTTCAAAAGTGGAGACACTTACATGTTCTGTGCAGGTTTTCAACCGTGGGATGTTGTCGACCTCAAATCAATTTTTCATTCATGTGGGGGATTGTTGGAATTTTTGGCATTTTTAATAGGCATTAAATGGACCAATTTGGGTATATTTGTTAATAGGTCCACTAACGGTTTTAACCGTTAATTAATGGACGTGTGTTCTCTTAAATGAGATAAATGTTTTGACAAATATTACGCCAAAAATGGTAAAGGGTGAATGAGAAATTGATTCTCAGAGTTAACCCGTTAATTAAAGAATATGGTGA